ACAAAGAGGAGGCAACAATGCTTGATAAGAAATGTACTCGTTATCTTGCCCATGTAATTGTAACTCCTCTGTATGGTATTCTCACAATTAAAAAAAAAAAAAGCAAAACCAAAAAAAAATCCTGTAGCAAAAGGTAACAAGTGAATGGAACAATAAAGAAAAGAAATAACTTCATACAGTACAATAAAATAGAAAATCCAAAACAAAACCTAAAAACACTTTTGCTTCCATATCTTGGAGTTTATTTCAATTAGCATCATTTTATATGGTCATAAGATTAGTACATTTCTTTTTGCACAGTGTTATCCCCTTCCTCATTTTCTCCTGTTTTCCCTTCCCCTACTATCTCCTACCCCCAAGTTGTAAAGTTAATTGTCAATATAGTGTCTATATCACTGTAGCATTGGTTCACCCTTTGTCCAACTGTTTCTGTGATTCCTCTTCCCTTCTCCAAAATAGATAGACTGTATATAAGACAAAGGATAGCAAAAGTCAGAAGTTTTGAACATGTGGAATAAATCAGAGAAGAAAAAAAAAGCAAGACAAAAGAAATAACTGCAAACAGTACACTTTCAAAAAAGAAAAGAAAAAGAAAACAATAGCAACAAAAATTAACTTCCCTTGTTGCCAAATCGTGAAGATCATTTTTTTCTTTTTTTTTTTATTGTGAAAATGCCATACAGAGGAGTTACAATTACATGGGCAAGATAATGAGCATTTTGTTTATCATCATTTTATATGGTCATATATACAGAGATATTGGGCTATTGTGAACCTCTACTTGGACTATCCTAGTCATATACTAATTATTATGGATGAGCAAAACCATAAGCCTGTTTCTTTGGTTCTGGCTTACTTCACTTAATATAATTTTCCAAGTCTTTCCATTTCCTTACGAATGGGGCAATATCATTCTTTCTCATGGAAGCATAGAATTCCATTGTGTGTGTGTGTGTGTGTGTGTGTGTGTGTGTGTTCCACATTTTCTTGATCCATTTATCTAATAAGGAATATCTTGGTTGATTCTATATCTTAGCTGTACTAAATAATGCTGCAGTGAACGTAGTTGTGCTGGTAGCTTTAGTGTGGATAAATGTCCAGGAGTGGGATTGCTGGGTCATAGGGGAGCTCTATGTTTAGTCTTTTGAGGAACCTCCATATTGCTTTCCAGCATGGTTGTCTAAACTTGCCTTGCCTTGTCAAGTCTCCTTATTTCACTCCTAAAAATGAAGTCTTTTTCTCAGCTCTTGTGGCTGTTAGTGCCCTGGATCCCTGGTAAGGGCAAAGGAAGATGAGGAATGAGAGTGAGATGGAAGGGTGAGGTCTCAGGGCCCAGTTATGCCCTATCAATGTGTTAGATGTGTAGATTTAGTTATCATGATGGGCAAGTGATATTTAGGTCTGAGAAAATAAGGAACTTTCCAAAAAGAGCTTGATGCTTTGTTTGGCTGAAGACTCTGCTAGGTGGGAATACCACTGGTGCCACCTAGAGACACATTTCTGCTTTAAAAATGTCTCATTTTTAATACTTAGTATTTTAGATTCTGGTTTAAGTCATGAAATATGAGTAATAGGCAAATATATATCAAATTAGGTTTAATAAATGTATGCCTCTATACTTGTACATACCCTTGCACTTCTAACTTATTCTAATTTTAGGATTCAGTAGAGATTTTGTGCTGACCGAGACTCCACTCTCCCTGCCTGTCACCCTGGGAGAGCCAGCCTCCAACTCCTACAGGGCTAGTCAGAGCCTCCTAGAGAGTGATGATGTTTATCTGGCATGGTATCTGCAGAAGTTTGGCCAGTCTCCACAACTCCTTATCTATGGAGTTTCCAACTGAGCATCTAGTATCCCAGTCAGATTCAGTGGCAGTGGGTCAGATACAGATTTCCCACTGGAAATCAGCAGGGTGGAGCTGGGGATGTTGGAGATTATTACTGCTTTCAAGATAAATGTTTTCTTCCCACAGTGATACAGCCCTGAACTAAAACCTCCCATCTGACTGGGTGAGTTACTTTCATGGGTTACTTGTCCAGGGGCACAGCAGAACAGATTGAGTGTGCGTAGGACATTCATACAATGGTCAATGTGAGAGTGACTCTGAGAGTAGAAGAGTATGTGGCTACCTACAATTTACAAATACCAAGAAAATAATCATGGAAGAACAAAACCAGGAGACTTCAGATCAACCATGGGGAATTAATTGAAAATATTCCTTGTGTCTTAAGTCGCATTATAATATAAGAATCAAATGTCTGCTGCAATGTAAGTTTATTCCTTTTGTAATAAAAATTATAGTAGTTCTATCAAGCACACCATCTTGGCCCATACCTATAGCATATGCTTCGCTTTCTATTCCAATCTAGAAGCCCAGTTGTACATTTTCTAGCCTCTGCTCTGTGTGTTTCCCAAGTCTTTTCTGACCATCAAACTGTTACCAGAGCTTGATAACTGTCCTTTGGCTGTATCAACCTGGAACAGTTACAGTACTGGACTTTGTACAGTGGTCCCTGGCCTTCTATGTCCTGGTACTCTGGTACCTTAAAAGAGAGAGTCCGGTGAAACCCTGTAATAGTGTTCATAGGTTCCAGAGACTCTGAGATTGAGATCTTGTTCAATGGGCATAGCATTCACTGCCCTACCTGGTCAACCTTTGTGATTTTATTTGAAAAACCATGGCATGAGGGAATCATCAATGCATTAGTTTGTCTTTTATCTATTTTGATCACATTAAATATTGTCATTTTCTTGTAATGAGCCTTTCAGAAGCTTGGAACTATGATACTGTACAGCTGAGGACTCAGGGATTGTCTGGCCTCCACCACTGTCCAGTGTGCATCTGCCTCCAGTGGTGTAAACTGTTTTACCGTGATGCTCTCAAAGCCATCTCAAACTAAAGGATGAAGTTGGAGATACTACGATGCCACTGAGATAACATTCATAGGAGAAATACAATCTGCAATGTATATGAACTAATGGAATAATTCATGTAACTTATGGAAATTTCTAATAAATTGTATCCACAATTGTATCATTCTGCACAAGATTAGTATCACAGGTAGAGAGATTGTTTTTACTCCTCAGCCCATTTTAGATTGTTTCTATTTGAAGCATTACACACACTCACTCTCTCTCTCTCTCTGTCTCTCTCTCTCTCTCACACTCACACACCAGTATCAGTTCTTTTCTTTTCCTTTCTTTTCTTTTTTCATTTCATTTCTTTTCTTTTCCTTTTTTTTCTTTCCTTTTTTGCAAGTCCTGGGACTGAACTAAGGGCCTGTGCACTGTCCCTGAGCTTCTTTGCTCAAGGATAGTGTTCTACCACTTGAATCGCAGCACCGCTTGTGGATTTTTTTCCCTGTGGATGTGGTACTAAGAAATTGAAACCAGGGCTTCATGCATGCTAGGCAAACACTCTACACTAAGCCACATTTCCAGCCTTTTCTATAACAAAGCTAAGCTCTGAATAAAAAAGAATTTAAGATGCAGAAAGCCCTAGATGTAATATTCTCATCAGGTAATGGCTGTCATGTTTGTGGGAAAATATAGTGTGTCTATGAAAAGAGAACCAGCCGCAAGTTGAAGTGGTCAAGCATATGATTGCCTTCCTTTTATCACAAACAACTACTGTTTCAACCTATTCTCACTTCAGGAGAGTAACTTTAATCCTCCAGAGTGCAGGAACTCCCCTGATGTAATCACTTCCTACAAGACACCTTTTCCAATGGCCAAGTGGAGACCCTTGGGACATCAGGACAAGCCTCCTTCTCCAGATGCTCCCTCTTGCCAGGTGATGCGCTGCCTCAGATAGGCCCAGCATCTTTGGAAACAAGAAGAAGACAATGAAAACTCTGAGATACTTATGCAAATATTGGTTAAATTAGATTGAAACTAGAGACATTGAAATGTTAAGTACTAATTTAAGTTAATCATAAATTATATGTATATGATTATGCATCAGAAGTTACACAAAGGGGTTTTGCCTCAGCATGTCAGTGTTTGAGTACAATGCATCTTGATCAATTTCACCCTTCCATTACTTTCTAGAGGGAACATTCAATAAAACCTTTAATTAATTTGCTGTACAAATATAGTTTAGGACAATGAAAGGATATTTATTGGATTTTAAAAATTAAAAAAATTAAATTTGAAAATTTAATATATATATTCCCATTCCTGATATAAATATTCTACCATTTTACTTTTCCCTTATAAATTCTACTATCTGTATTATTAGTTCACTATCTATAAAAGAAAATCCTGTTCTCCTTGACATTTCTTTAAGTCTTAATAGGAAGTTCTTTGGAAACAGAATTTCTAACAATTGTAGATATTATCATTGCTTCTTCTTACCCCTCCTACTCTGTGCTCATATTGGTCAATTCCCTGAGGATCAAAGCTGCTGACAGTGTGCACTATGTCTTTCTCTAGACTAGCTGAGGGAAGTCAGAAGAGCCAGGCCCAGTGTCCATTCTTTCCAAAAGACTGTCCTGGACTTATACATATAGTATATATAGTACATATATAGTATATATACATATAGTAAGAACATGTGCACTCTCTGGAACCTGCAGTTCCAGACTTTCACAGTGGGGTCCCTCCTAGTACCACAGGTATCATGGATTTTTATTGATTATCATCAAACTCAGAACACACTTGACACTTTTCTCCGAAGAGCAGGCTTTACCTTCCCTTTTTCTTTCCTCCCACTGCTGCACCCACCTGGCTATTTGCATATTGCTCTCTAAAGAGGACCTTCCTTTCTAAATCTGAGATAAAGGCTCAGATCTGAACTTGCCTTGATCTGTCAAGACTCCTCATTTTACTCCAAAAATGAAGTCCTTGTCTCAGCTCCTGTGGCTGTTAATGCTCTGGATCCCTGGTAAGGACAAAGGGAAATGAGCAATGAGAGAGGGCAGAAGGGAGAGCTTTCAAGGCCCAGTTGTGCCTTATCTGTGTGTTAGATGTTCATGATAAGACAAATAATGTGTAGGTCTGAGAGAGTGAGAAACATTCCAGAATGAGTACCTGTGCTTGGGTAAAGATTCTGCTGGGAAGGAATACTGTCATTGACTTCTACAGACACTTTTGTGCTTCAAAAATATATCTTTTTAATATTTAGTATTTTGAGTTTATAAATCAAATCATGACTATGAACAAGAGACAATATTTATCTAAATAATAGTAATAAACACATGGTTCTCTATGATTATATATAATCTTGCACTTCGGTCTTATTCTAATTTCAGGTTCCAGTGGAGATGTTGTGATGACCCAGACCCCGAGTTCCCTACCTGTCACCCTTGGACAGCTGGCTTCCATCTCCTGCAGATCTAGTCAGAGCCTTCTGTATAGCGATGGGAACACCTATTTGGACTGGTATCTGCAGAAGCCAGGCCAGTCTCCACAACCTCTGATCTATTTGGTTTCCAAACGAGCATCTGGGGTCCCAGACAGATTCAGTGGCAGTGGGTCAGGCACAGATTTCACACTGACAATCAGCAGGGTGGAAGCTGAGGATGTGGGAGTTTATTACTGTTTTCAAGCTACACATGATCCTCCCACAGTGATACAGCCTTGAACAAAAACCTCCCATCTGGCTGGGTGAGCTGCCCTCATGGCTGGCTGGTCTGGGGAGCAGACCAGCAGATTGTGTGAGTCTGCGTAGGAGGAAGATGTTGAGATCAATGTGAGAGTGACTCTGAGTGGAAATGAAGAATCTGTGACAATATGACAAAATACAATCTATAATGACCAGGAGAACAATTATCTGAATATAAAGACCAGGAGACTTCAGATAAACCATAAGGAATTTTTGAAAAATGTCTCTCTTTATTAGTATTAGAACCAACCTATGATCTATGAATCAAATGACTTCTTTGTAATGAAATTCTTAATACTTCCTTCAAGCACATCCAAGCCTACAACTTTAGCCTATCCTGTGTTTTCTGTTCAGAAGAAGCCCAGTTGTACCTTATCTAGCTTCTGCTCTGTGTGTTCATCAAACCCTGCCTAACCATCAAACCATTAGCAGAGTTTAATCATTGACTCTTGGTTGGTTCAACCTGAGAAAGTTACAAAATTGCACACAGCCAGTGGTCTCTGCATTCTGTGTCTTGGGGCTCTGGATCTAATTAAGAGAGTGGATTGGGGTCAAGCCTGGGAATATGCTTCATATGTCCCAGAAGTCTGAGACTGAGCCCTTGTTCAATGGGCACAGCATTCACAGTCCAACCTGTTCAACCTCCATGACTTCATATGAAAACCATGTCAAGAGGGAATCTTTCATATTTAAGTGTGTCTGGTATCCATTTCCATCACTTTCAACATTTATCATTTCCTTGTAATGGGCCTTTCAGAGTTCCACAGTTCCACTTCCAGCCTTTTCTGCTTATGTGGTGCTAAGAAATTGAACCCCGGGCCTTATGCATGCGAGGCAAGCACTCTACCACTGAGCCACCTTCCCAGCCCTGCATGAGACTCTTATCTCCAATAAACCACTCAGAAAACCAGAAGTAGCACTATGGTTCAAGTGGTAGAGCTTGTCTTGAGTTGCAGAGCTGAGGGATTGTGCTCAGCCCGAGAGTTCAAGCCCCATGACTGACAAAAAACAAAATCTTGAAACGATACACTTTTAACACTAAGCACATTCATTTACAATAATACATTTATAAATCACCAGTGCAGAACTGTTCATCAGAACAAAGGGCTGATTATTAATGCCAGATCTGATTAGCTCAACAAAAATCAGCGCTACTCAATACAAGCACCATAAATGCCACTGTCGACTCAAAAAAAAAAAAAAAGAAGAATGAGACGAAGACGAAGATGAAGACAATGACGACGGACGGCGAGGAGGGGGAGAAAGAGAAGGTGAGGAGGAGGAGTAAAAGGAGGAGGAGGAGGAGGAGGAAGAAGAAGAAGAAAAAGTGGGAGTCTCCATGTAAAACCAGTGTTAAGAAGCATGAAGAAATATCTTGATCAGGACAGAACTAGAGAAAGATCTGAGTGAATACAAACTGTTGCTTTTCTTGTCCCTGCTCAGAGCAGCGATACAAGAAGTGCAGTTGTAACTTACCCTGCAGCTTTGATATACAGATCTTACTGCTGGCATGATAGCAAAAATCCAAAACATGGTGTTGCATCCTGGGTACTGACCTCTTTTGCTCTTCCAGGGGCATGAACTTTATGGGAACTTTTAAGCCAACAACCTGACAGGATCCAGTTCCAATGAGAAGAATACTATTCACAGTTTTAATGGCTGCTTTGGCATGTACCTTCTCTGTTTCCTTTCATTTATTTCCACCAGCCATATTTGTGACTTACTGACTTACAAATATGCAGAGGGGTAAAGAAGGATGGATGGGATGACATTGTTCAAGACACATAATACCCATAAATTGGCTCATTGAACTTAAGTCCCTTTGTACTACTAAAAGATAATACAAATATTTATTACTAAAGTCTTTAAAAAAAAGAATATACTCACACAGAACTGGTCTACTTACAAATTAAATGATAATGTGTTAGAATATATAAATAGAAATTTTTTACTTATAATTAGTGAAGAAATGATTAGGACATTAAAGAATTATAATGTTAATTGTTTATGTAACATCATTTTGAGTTCTCACAAATTGAGTATGAACATTAGGAACCCACAATGGGCACTTCTCCATGTGGTCTTTTCTCTCTAACATAGTCTGACTGTGGTGAAGCTCAGGACTCACCCTGTGCACTTGTGGACAGAGCAGCAACCTGCTCACTGGAATTCTGGAGAGCACAATGAAATTGCCATCTCTCTCCCATCCTGCCCTCTATGATCTCTGGGATGTGCCCAGTGTATCCAATTTGCTTTACTTAAAAGTCTTCAGTGTGTTTTTCCCTTTCCTGCTCTGACTCCATGAACATAATTCATCCTCATTGATCACACGACTGTGACATCTTCAGAGTTGCCTCTCATGTTCTCTCATATTCTTTTCCACTGTTGACTTGTAGTTCAGACTTCACCCTACGAATCCTGATGGGGCAGTCAACATGGGCAGGGATTTGGGGCTACAGATCCTAATGTAAAATAAGATACTTGGGAACTTGCACATTGGGAGATGTGGTCCATTGTGAACAGACTGCCAGTGCCTTGAAATCTGGGTGGGGAGCTGCCAAGCTTCAGACAGTAAGGATTTTTAACATCAGCCTCAGGGCTTTTTTCTTGTTGGGTTTGCTTACCATCTAATGGTAGGTATTTGAACAGCAGCATACATGGTCTTTTGTTAGGAGTACTTAACATTTTCACTCTAAAACTTTTCATTCATATTCATGAACATGATCCTATTCTGTCCACTAATAAATAGGCTTCCATAGAAAACTCAAATGTCTTCTGTCATCAATCAATTTTCTCAATATTAAGATTTCAAAGGGAATTTTGTAATTGAAATGATCACAGGACAGTTAAAGTATATTTTATATAATCCATATTATAAAACAAAGGTATGTTTTTGGCCAAAAGAAACCTCTGGGAAACCTTCCAAGATTCATTGATAAGGAACTGGGGATAGCTGACTGCATGAAGCCCAGGAGCTCATGAAAACTCTGTGCTGAGCAATTGAGTGGAGGCCACAGCTATGGTCGCTAGGGCCCAAGGGGATCCTGGATGACATCTGATTCTTTCATATGGCTCCTTCAGCCCACTCTACCTCCCATTTGCTCTTGGTTCTGAGGAAGGAGGAGTGCTTGCCTCAAGAACTCCAAGCCTGCACCTGCTTTATACATTTTCCTTTACCTTTAGTGTCCTACCTAATTGCTAGACAGTTTTATACTTTTGATAACACCTCTTTGGCAGTGATTGCATTGACTTAGTGTGTAGAACAGTAGGATTGTGGGTGTAGGACACAGCAGGACCAAACTGGTCAGAAGCTTGCTGCTAGATACATCAGTTATGCCCCTGTTCTTGATACCATAAATGTCAACATCTTCCAGCAAATGACCAAACTGATTGATGACATCAGAAGAGAACAAAGAAGAGATGGGCTTTAGCACTCATCATTAAAAGATGAGAAAACAGCACTGTGGGAAAAGACATCTGAGGTCATATTTAAGACAGAAACAGTATTCCTGTGTAGCCAAAATGGGCAGATTAGGGAAGGCCATACTTCAAAGGAGGAAAAAAACAAATGTGGGAATAAAGCTCAGTTTTATGCATGTTTGTGTATTGTTATTTAACATGCTTTAATTATTGAATTCAGGCTGTATAGTTTGGTGATATAATAAGTGACAAAACTGTATCACTTGGTGAATTTAGTGATTTATTTCTATATTTAAGATACAATTATTATTTTGCGTTGCTAATATTTGTTTATGTGACTTTAGATATTTTAGATATTTTTCTAAACCTATCTAAAGAAGGTAATTAGCTCCTAATTAAACAGTAAAGAGATAAATTTGGAGTGCATGCTTTTAGTATTTACCAGTCATTTTGGGAGATCACATGGAAGTTAGTAAAGATATAATATTGGCATACAGAAAATTTCTGATTTACAGCTCAGGAATAGACCGCTGAACTGATGTTCTGAGAAGTATTTAACATAGAACATAAATGGAAAGACAACAAGTACTTGATACTTTCTCTCCTTTTATTGGAATAAATCCATGACAGGATTAGTATTATTCTCTTTTCTTCTTCACCCTCTTCTTTTTTATGTTTTTATTGCAAAAATACTGTACAGAGGGGGTTACATTTACATGAGTAAGGTAATGAATATATTTCCTATCGAGCATTGCTACCTCCTCCTTTGTTTTTCTTCTACCATCCCTTCCGTCCCCATTCTTCACCCTTTTGTTACTGTTACCTGATAATAATTATACAAAAATAAGAATTTAAAAACAAATGCGTTTACATAATGATTATCCTATGTACTTCTAACTTATCCTCAGGAAGGCATGGAATGGTAAAATACTTTTTATAATGCATTATTGTTAAAGGCAAGGCTAATTCATTAGATTAATTTGTTATGGTATATCATGAAAGAAATGTTGCTGGCCCTGGTGGCTCATACCTATAATCCTAGCTACTCAGAAGGCTGAGATCTGAGGATCATGGTTCAAAGCTAGCCTGGGCAGGAACGATGGTGAAACTCTTATTTCCAATAATCCACCAGAAAACTGGAAGTGGTGCAATGGCTCAAGTGGTAGAGCACTAGCCTTGAGCTGAAAAGCTGAGGGACCATGTCCAGGCCTAGAGATCAAGCCCCACAACTGACAAAAATGGAAAAAAAGAGAAAAAAAAGAAATGTCAACTCAGTATGGGAAAAGTAAAGCAAAGCAACTGGCTAAATCAAGGAAGCTTCTGGGGTTAGCTTGCCTGCTGGATTAAACATTGGTGAGCTTTGTGATACCTTACTGACTGCATATAATTAGACCAGTGCTGACCATATAGTTTTTCTAAATTAATAGAATGTCTATATTTGTACTGTAGTATATAGTAAGTTTTTGTGCATGTGTCAGTGACATTAGAAATAAAGCTAGTGTAACTAGAAAACTCAACTTACTTTTAACTTGCATTTATCTAATTATGTTTAGTATTTA